TTTTTTTTTCTGATAGCAGCAATAAACTATGTTAGCTTATTCAGGTTAGAAATATGCCCTTAAGTAATTGAGGAAAATGAAGTTGAGTTTGTCTTCTCTGTTTAAAGTTTCTATAAAGGTGTTGCTCCGCTCTGGATGAGGCAGATTCCATACACAATGATGAAATTTGCCTGCTTTGAACGTACTGTGGAAGCTCTCTACAAGTATGTGGTACCCAAGCCAAGAAGTGAATGTACAAAGGCAGAACAGCTGGTAGTCACATTTGTTGCAGGTTATATTGGTAAGAAACTTTTCAATTCTGCGTTTTTGAATGGATTTCAGCTGTTAAAGTCTCACTCTTTTTCAGAATAGCAAATATATACATATAACTATAATGGAAGAACCAGAGTGTAACTTAAAAATGCGTGGGGCAGTGGAACAGGTTCAATCTGTAATCAGAATGAGAGCTTAGTTAATTGGGTCTTCAGTAGGGCAAAAGTCTTAATTTTTCCTGTGCTAGCATAAAGTTTGGAGACTGTAGCACATGCCAAAAAAATAACTTGCCTCCTTGCTAGGCTGGAGCAAGTAGAGAAAGGTGAGAAGGGAGGGAGTTGTGATTTCACCATAAAAAATCAAAATGAGTTTTATTTTAGAAGACAGGTGGTGAAAAAGCAGAGTCTGGGTGCTTTCGAGTAAACATCTCATGCTAGTAAGAACAGAACTGCTGTCTTTTGGGAGGCTTGACGTAGCTCCTGCACCACTTGCCAGTGGTCTGCGAAAGATGTGGTTTCAGTTGGTCATACTCTAAGCGAATAATTGCTGTGGAGACTAAAGCATTGCAAAACTAATAATGAATTATTCTTTCAGCTGGTGTGTTCTGTGCAATTGTTTCTCATCCTGCTGACTCTGTGGTGTCTGTATTGAACAAGGAAAAAGGCAGTTCTGCTTCACAGGTTCTTGTGAGGCTTGGATTCAGAGGTAAAAGAAATATTCATTCATGTATTTTGGGTTAAGCCAATGGGTAGGGGTTATGTATGTCTTTGGGGGGAGTAGAGGTGGATTTTTTTCCTGGCCTCACACCCGTGCTTTATGATTTTTTGCTCTGCAGGTGTATGGAAAGGTCTGTTTGCTCGTATCATTATGATTGGTACCCTGACTGCACTACAGTGGTTCATCTATGATTCTGTGAAGGTGTATTTCAGACTTCCTCGTCCACCTCCACCTGAAATGCCAGAATCTCTGAAGAAGAAGCTTGGTCTAACTGAATAAACAACTCATGGACTGACTTTGCTGGCTGTCCCAGTGATGAGTTTCATGAAACTTTTATATATTTGACTATGTAGAAAACAAACTATATGATGTAATTATTGGCTCATCCCTTCTGAGGGTTTAAATTCTACCACTGTCATTGCCTGAAATAAATGAGAACCGGAGTGCTTAGTGTCCGTTTACTACTGCATATATAAGCTTTGCTTCACATGAGTAAATACCTCAAAACAATTCCCAATAAAAAAATCTAAGTCATTTGCATGTAAAAAAGGCAACAAAAA